GTCCTACAAAAACTAAGAATGCGTAACATTGGTCTCCTTTACTGCATTAAAACCGTTTCGGGCGCTAGTAAACTGACCGTGATACATTTAGTAACTAGTAGTTTTTACGTAGCACATACAAAAAATGTACAGCTATTGTGATACCCATTCGTTTGGCGGAATTGCAAAGGGGTTGTTCATCAGAACGAAAAGTTTTGTTCATTGTGCGTGTCAGTAGGTTCATGCTGATTTGTTTGCGTGATAATTTTGAAACAAATAACAAAATGCCGCGAGAGAAGCACGCGTCCAATGAAGCACAGAGAGTTTGTTTATGATAAATGAGGTTTATCCTCCTGAGTGTTTGGCTAACTATGTTTCCTGTTGTATTTCAACGCACAAATAATTTTTTTCTATTGCCTGAGATTTACGTTAGTTTGGTTTGAAGGAAAGAACACGCGTGCCTCACGAAGGCAGCTGTTAACAGGTTATTGAGTGTTAAGGCCTGTTGGACAAAATAACCCAGTGGTAGAACATGGCTTTTGATTCAACCCACTGTGCGAACATGAACTGATAATAAGCTTGCAAAAAAAAAATATCCAGCAATGCGGTCAAACCTTTCCAGCTGATTTAGAAGCTGTTTCTTTGTGAACTAAACTTACCATTGGAATCTGCACTACAAGGATTTTAAAGCAAACTGCGAGCACACCTTTCTACCGCACTGAGTTGATCTGGTTCATCTGTGACTTGTGCTGAGGCATGCGGAGAAAAGTGGATAAATGATTACTAGTACCAGGCTCAATGACCCGAGTAAGGGCAACAAACACAAATTCCTGTCAGGTATTGGCCTAAATTTTGTTATGCGGACCGTTTAAGTTCACTTTAAAGGAAAGCCGCTCTTCCTGAATGTGTAACCACAGCTTAGCAGGGGTAGTGTAAATGTAAACAGCATGCTTAAGTACCTAGCCTAAAAACGCGTCGGGGGAGGGGGCGGGCGGGGAGGACGGCGGGATATATTACTTCAACCCATTGTGCGGGAATGTATCGACGGAATGGTGTATTGGCGAAGGAGAAATACAAGTGAAACCCCTCCCTTTGATACTTTTGTTGCCTGTTTCTTTATTATCGACGAAATGTCTGTCGCAGCAACGTGTCTGGGTGTGTCTTTTCAACGTAGGTTTAAAGAAGTGGTACCTTGTCCGACTTGAAGATATTAAAACGCATTGTAGACTTTGTCAATCATTTGTAAATGGAAGGGAAAAAAAGGAAAACAAACGATAGAAGTTTTGGGCTACGACGTTGATCTATCACTTTCTAACCTTTCATGTCTTTTCCCCACACACCCCTCCCTGCTTCTCCTCCCCCTGCTGCTCAATAACGAATTACAGTGTAGGCAGAAGTGTCTGTTACTATAAAAAGCAAACGTGATATCAGATCATTTTCAATTTTGACGCAATATGGCGTATATTGACGACAGTCATTTATTTCCTGTCTGCCAGGCTATGGCAATCATTGTCCAACTTGTTTATCAGAAAAATGCATTCAAATTCATGGCTAAGCTGTCTTTGAAAAGAATCATTTGTGTTCTGACAGCGTAATTTTAGAAAATTGAAGAATTGTGTACATCATATCAGATTCAAAACAGATCAGTTGATACAAATCGGCTACGGGGTAAAAGGAATAAGTCGCACACATCGATCAGCCGAGTTTCTTGCGCAATCACGTAATTTCAATGGTTTACAACTCGGATTGTTGAGAATGCTTGTTCGCTTCCTATCACTCAACTGTCGTTTTAAAATCTGTAATTGCCTCGCACTGTTTCTTCTGTTTGTTCTCGAGACACATTCATGCGCAAGAGATGTTTTTATAGCTCGATTCTTAAAGAGCAAGTCTTAGAAATCCAGTTTGGGGTTCACGCTTTAACTACAACAATTTCGTGAGTAATTCTCCCCTCTAGTTTCCTTATAAACTGACTGAGAGAATTTGAACTATATCGACTTGAAGACACCCTGTAGCTGATAAGTTTAGATCTTCTCATCACCTGCCTGTTGTGTAATGTATCGTTATTCGATACTGTAAGAAGAAGTTACAGTCTTATTATTTCTGCAAGTTAAGAATTGAACGAGTAAAATTTGAAAGTCTTGCACCCTTTTCTGTAACGTATGATCTCTGAAATAAAAGCAATCCATGAAAGAAGAAACGTGAAAGAGAAAAATAGAGTAATTTGCAATTGAGTTTCAAAAGACATCCGGGATTGCTTTGGTTTTACTTTACTAAGGCCTGTGTGATTGGTCAAGAAAACTCACGCCTTGACCAATCAGACCCAAGACTAAAACCCGCGCTTTAAGTTGTTTGCTCGTATCTACTTTACGTTCTTATTGGCTCCTTCTGATGTAGTTCTTCCTTCGGATTGGTTGTTTTGGAGTTTGGTTTTACGACTCGCAAAGAGCCAAACTGTTTCGAGAATGATGAAAGACAGTTAACAAGTCACATCTGATAGCAAAAATATTTTAAAAAAAAACTTAAGGGCCTTATTTAACAAAACACCACATGATTTAAGCGATTTCTCATTCCAATGCATTGATCAAGTGCAGGCGACAGTAAACAATTCAGGTAACATCGAGAAACTTCTAATTACCAAAGAAGCATATTGGAGCGCACAGTTGTTCTCTCTGGCACCCTTCGGCTTGAATAAGCGCCAGGAATTTCACTCCAAAAAAAGAATAAACTATAATTAATGCGGAGAATTTTTTCAAATTGGGCGGGCATCAAAGGTCCCAGTCTCAGCGTTGATTGGGAATTTTAGTACAATTCTCGCCTTTCAAGTCAACGCTGGTTCCTTAACATTTTCAGTGGATTCGACAATTTTTCCATTTCTTTTTATTGTGATAATTTTTCGCGTAGTAATTACTGTGTTTGTTTATATGTGTCATCACGCCCTATATAAATCTATTTAAGGAATTTGTAAGTCATTGTATTACAACTGATGAAGGTCTCGGACCGAAACGTATTTTATTAAACTTTCTTAGACTTTTTATTTGAGTATATGTCTTTCTTAGCTCGAAGTTGTCCGTCCTCGTGTACTACAATATTTTTCCTACTATTTATCGAGGTTTGGACTGTGAATCCCTTTGGATCCTTCTGGCGCGGCGTCACTGTTGGCTCGAGGCCTTTTAACTTGTTATATATATATAAACAGACTAGGAGAAGTCGTAGCTGTGAAATAGTGCTCGATGCGGGTTGCAGAGCGTTTCAATAGCGGTTATAAATTAATGACAGGAAGATCGTTTCACCATTACTCTGAGTTTCACGCAGCGCAAGCTATATTTTACACTTTATATATATATAAAGTGTAAAATTTGACTTTCGTTAAACAGTGCTCAATACATAGAAGTAGAGCGGTGTATATATTGCGGAAGGAAAAAGACAAACTACAAGTTCATCCCTACAAGCCTGTTTCGTGGTTGCCCACTCATCCGGGGATTGGAAATCCCCTGATGAATGGGCAACCACGAGACAGGCTTCATGCGGATGATCCCAGAAGTCATACAACACTTACTATCAAAGAAGTAAAAATAGCTAGATGCTAAAGTATTAAAGGATGCTATTCACAGTTCACCGATTTTGGAAGTCATTAAAGAAATTAAGGTGCGTCTCTTCGCTGGAAAGTAATTTAGACCTCGCGATCTGTTCGGACCGTTAACCCAGTCACTCCCATGATCTGAATATCAATTCTCTATACTGTCTGTGTTACATCTCCAATAACTCTATCTCTGAGAATTTGGTGTCCAATCAAACAAATTCCCTTGTTCATAGTTTTCTTTTCCCCTCATCACATTTACTGCTTGAAAGTGTGTCAATAGTGATGTGTAGAAATTCCTTTCTGATCACTTCTTACAGCGAAAAGATTAGGCAAGAAGAAAATTGTGCGAAAATAACATTGGTTAACATCGAGTATAAATGTCTTACCGTTTTTAGTTTTTCTCGGCTCGAGTCGTTTCTCTAGGGTGTAGGAAGTGACCAGAGAAAACCACAAAATATTGTTCTGATGAGGGGAGAAAAATCCAATTTTAAGTTGGTAAAACTGAAGCAAAAAGAAGTTGGTACAGTAGTACTCGGAGAAAAA